TATGAATTGCCTGGGCTGGTGAAAGAAAATAATAGTAAGTGGACTGCAGATAAAGTGCAGAACAGAATGGAAAACGCAGTACAGCCAACTGATGCCCATATTGGACTATAGCAGATATATCAATATTAATTTGTGCTATCTGGCATAAGAAAACATTTTCTTAAGAACACAATGCAAACTTCAACTATTTTAGAACTATTTTTGGTTTTTACATGGAATTTGTTATTTTTCATCACTGTCTGCAGCACATGCAGACCATTTCCAAACACAAAGCTACATCTCAGACTCTACAGGCTTCAGTTAGAATTTTAGTACAATTAAAGACTGAACAAGGCAAGCTTGTTTGGAACAGTCCCTTGGAGAAAGTGTCTTCTGTCTAACAGAACTTGGCAGCTTAGGTTTATAAAGTTGAATTTGCACTAACCACAAGACTCCTTTGGACAACTGTCACTAAAGTGCGCTTTGCACCTTTGTAAAAATAAAAATGGCATATTACCATAAACCTCTCATTCGTACTGCCAGTCAAGGTGTTGAATTGGTCCATTAAAAGTCCAGCTCACTACCTCATTAAATTACTATGGCAGTACCTTAAAAGTAATGTGCATGAACTAAAGCAATATTATAAAGAAAACTAGGTCCAACTTTCTCCGCAGCTAAAGTCCTGTTCAACTTCACCTGCTTCCAAGTTGCGTGGAGAGGATGGGAAGAAGAAAAAAAAAAAAGAAAAAGAGGAGAAACGACTTTATTGACTGACCAACGCGTTTCAGCTTGTGGCCTTCATCAGGGTCAGGGTTGACCTTGATGAAGGCCTAAAATTAGAATTTAAAGTTGATTCTTTGCTTAGTTGTCTGTTATATGTAGACAAAATTCATTCATCCCCTGGATTAGGTGCCTTTTCTGTGAATGACTTAAAGGTCAGTGTTAACTGGCTTAACAGAATGACATACTTAGTTTTTAAATCACAAGACAGCATATTCCTCACTCTGCACACAAGTAACAAAGCAAAGTAATAATTAAAATTTGACTTACCAGCACCCCCTTAATCCAGCCAAACTTGACCACTCCTTTTGACTCAGCTGCTTCTTTAGCAGCGGCCTCCTCTGCTGGTGTAAGTTCATCACCGTTGGCAAAGCCATCCTCAAAGGGTTCCTTAGAAGCACAAAAAGTTGAATCAAAGTCAGCAACAAGTAGAAGTAAACGTACTCTAAAGCGAAATGCTGGTGCATTATTTAAATCTGATGTTTAAGCACAAAAATGCAAACAAAGCACATGAAAAGTGAAGAAAGTGTTTAAAGTTAGGAGCATTTGGAACATATAAATAAAACTGAGGCAAGAGTATGTTTCCCACTGTACAGCATGACATTAAACAATACACTACATGCAGTGAGGAACAGAATGGACTAATTGCTATAATTTAGACAGAAATGTTTACCTGTTCATCCTTGAAAAAGAATTTTAGCTGCTCAACAGTTTGTGGCTTCCTTTACATTTCATAATCTGCCAAATGTTTTCAATATGTAACAGATGGCCAACTGCAGGTCACTATTTTTCTTCTCTGTCATTCTGGGATGTGTTCTAATATAAAGGTTTTTGTTGTTTTTAAGGTTTGGACTTTCTGAGTGTCCCAGTCTAAAATTTGTTGAAACACACTGTTGGGACCAAATTGAAAATAAATACATGAAAATGAAGATTTCTCAGTTTGAACATTTGTTGTAATTGTACTATTCTTAATCAAACTTAATAGATTTTAGATTTAAAAACTGCTGCATTCACACATTTTATACAGCATCAAAAGTGGCTCATTTTCTAATAATAATGCCTCGCAGCAAAACAATCTGAAATTCAAACCCAGACAAATGGTAAATGGTAAATGGCCTGTATTTATATAGCGCCTTACTAGTCCCTAAGGACCCCAAAGCGCTTTACATATCCAGTCATCCACCCATTCACACACACATTCACACACAGACAAGTCCCTTCTTTTGACAGTTTGCAGGCTTCTTTGCAGGACTCTGGTTTCTCCTGCCATCGAAAACATTCTCCAGGACACCCTTGCAAAAACATTCCGAAATAACAATTGTTTCATTTCCTGCTTAAATCAAAGGCAATAAAAAAAAAAAAAAGGAACACTGGCTTACAGACACAGGTCACATTCTTTACTTTATGTAGCCGTTAAAAATACTAGAAGCTCCCTTCTGTGCACAATAGTGTCCCATTGGCATCCTCCCTGGGTATACAGTGTATTATATTAACTGCATTGATTGTTCTACTTCAGGTTAATAAGAAGGCAAAGGACATCTGCAAGCCAGCCCTCTGCACGTATACTAGTATTTGGGGTAAATTTGTTTGTTTATGATTAACAGGAACACAGCGGAAAGTAACTATTATCGGGACTGTCTAAATGATTGGTAGGAACTACTACTTCTTCCGCCTGACAGAGTGAGATGCGAAATACGGCTGTATATTGATGATGACCGTCATCACTGATAGATGTCACTTGCGGAGTTCTTTGGTGCTGCAGGACAGGAGCTATTGTTTTTGATTGTTAATTGAATATTTTAAAATGTAGGTAATGACTTTTTAGGTTTTTGATTTCTTATAGGATATTTCTTTATAATTAAACAATAAAAACAACGAGTCTAATGTCTTGTATTCATTATGAAGGTGCAGTTTGAAACACACAACTTTTTATTTTGATTTTCCAAACACATCAAGTTTTTGTACAGAGTATCTGGATCTGATCAGTATAACTAATACCAACCTGAATTTTACTTGGTATCGGGGCAAAAATTTTATCTGTGGTAACGCACATTACTAACTTATACTAAAGCTTTTACTGCATGTCCCCATTCAGTGTTACTGCAGACCAAGGTAATGCCATCCAGAGTAAGAATCTGATTGCAATATTACCAGATATCTAAGATTTTCAGGGCCGAATACAATAACCTCAGTTTTATCTCAATTTAGAAGCAGAAAATTAGAGGTCATCCAGGTCTTGTGTCTTTAAGACATTCCTGCAGTTTAACTAATTGGTGTGTGTTATCTGGCTTCATGGGTAGATAAAGTTGGTACGATCTCATATCCTCGTGTCGGTGTTGTTCCCATATCATCATAATAAATGTTGTTCCAGGTTCAACATTGCAAGTGACCAATCACATTGTTGTGACGTCATACTTTTGCAACTTCGGGGAAAAACACCTTTAAAAAAAAAAAAAAAGCAAGCAATTTGAATTTTTTGCATTTCAGGACACTGTTCTTTAATAAATGGTAAGCATTATACATGTTGTCCTTGCAACATTGGAATTTCATAAATGAATGAATCGCTTGGCTTACAAAAGTATGATGTGATTGGTCACTTGCAATGCTGAACCTGGAACAGCATTTATTATGATGATGTGGGAACAACACCGACACGAGGATATCAGATCATCCATAAAGGCACGATCTGATAAAGTTGGGTGTCATCTGCATAGCAGTGAACATGTATGCTATGTCTTCTAATGATGCTGCCTA